GATGAAAATTACGAAAATTATTGAATTGTTAAATTAGAATCATTTTTAAAACGATCTCTTTAAAAAGAATTTAATTTTTATTATTAGACAAAATTTGTATATTTTTATATTTGATCCAATATTAATATTATTTTTTGAAGAATAATATTCTAATAATATGAGTATAGATAATATTTCGTATTCAAGGATATTAATATGAATATATGAAGACCGCAAAAATTCTTTATTTTTTTCGTAATATCTCTCATATTTCGATATGATATCTGTATTAATTTTGCTCGTATATCTTATATATAGAATATCTTTCGTAATCCCAAATCTCCCCCCATCCAAATAATATCAATGACTACCAAAATTTATAAGAATATTCTATAAATACCTCCAAATTTTCCGGAAATGTTCGGGATTCCGCTATATAAGGCGAACGAAGATCCAGAAGGTTCGGAAGAGAACGGCCCCAAAATGTAATATGACACGCACGAGGTTATGAAGAGTTTCTGTAGAAATTAAATTTACCAATAATTCCAACTAAATGGCATCCCCTTCCTCACATTTATATGTTGATGCCATAGAAACGAGGTTGGAGCCCTATCTCGTGCCCCTATTGCCACGAGTTCCGACTGAAAGTTGTGTTTTACAGGATGTTCTCGTATCAGACAACTGTAGTATAATGCAAACAAAGGCCGTCGCTCAATTTGTCTTATATTTTGAGAAGATTACAGAACGAAGAACATGATAAACATATGCTTGAACACAAGTATTCCAATTCTGTTTTGAGATCTGAAAATCTCGGCCACAGTCCTGCAAGGGTTCTCGCAACCACTGACAATTGACTTGGCGTCAATTCTCTTGATCGGCAACGTAAGGCAACAACCAATGCTGGGAACGGGCTTTCCCGTGCACCAAGCATACCACATGTCCAGATGAGCAGGCAAAGGCTCGCGTTCGGGAAAGAATGCAAGTTCTTCAAGTTCAACCCTGAATTGCCCAGCAAAGGCAAAGCAGCGTGCCTGTGACCCAACACTGCCAGTGCCCATACCGTGATAGACAAACTTTGCTCGTCCAGTCGAGCGAAAGATGATATTCTAGCACAAACTCTGCAAACAAACCTCTGCGGATCCCCAGTCCAGCGACTTCTCGCAATCGCCCACAAGGAGTTCGCACACTCCTGTGCCTAAGCTGTTCTGTCTTCTTGAGCTGAACGACACTTGCCCTGAGACCCGCATGACGCAAGTGCGCCAAGAGACAGAAAAGAGGTGCACGGGAATCGCATCGGGATCTTCTGCGATCCGGTCAAAGAGCGAGATTGCAGACGGTCCCAGGTATCCAATGTTTGCGACAGCCCAAAGCGAATTGGCGATATCCTGCAACAAGATCGAGATGCAGACATGTGCATCCAAACATATTCAGAACGGCGCAGTCCCTCTGGGCACCTGCCCGTTGCAACTCGAAAGCTTTCTGACGATCTCCTCACACAGGCTGCACACACCGTACTCGCTGCAGGGCGCTGCACGGAGACATTGCTACACCTAGAACAATGCAGGTTGCAAGTCTAAAACGAGAAGCCTCCAGCAGGGCCTCGATGACGGCATTGTTCTCTTGCAGCCCTGCGGAGATGCTTCCGCACTGACACTCGAATACCAAGACTTGAATGAAGATCTTGGCCTGCATTCGGAGATGATGACACTGACCCGACGTCCTTTGATTCAATTCGCGTCTCATGTCTGCAACACCGAAGACGGCACCGAAGCGGGCTTGATACTTGGTGTCCGGCACTGAGCTCTTCGATGCTCTTCGCTGCGACATCTTGATTTATCTTTGCCAGAGTGGACAACGACCAAAGGATGTTTGCCGCACCCTGCGGTGTAAGCCTTCTGGCATTACTAAGCACGTGGGGAGCGCACGCTGCTGTGAGTGCAGTGCTCGGCATGTCAATTCCCTTCGAGGCCAGAGTTGCTGTTCCCCAGAACAGCATGGACAAACCCTGCGGAGAAAACTCCGAGGACCGCTCGGCTGCATGAGCTGCAATGCTCTTCAGAAAGAGCCTTCCCTTTTCCCTGGGCATCAAGTGAGTTGCCAAAGTTGCTCCAGCCCATACCGTCGCGGCTATGTCATGGTCACCAAATGTGGGGAGCATGTGCGGAGTAGCGTGGTAACTGGCCAGGTTTTCCAAGACTTCCACACCAAGCTGAAAGTGCGAAGAGCGCGCAAATGCCCACAATAGCTGTGAGATGTCCCGAGGGTTTAAGCACCGACTCTGCTCCCGCCCCGACGGCGCTTCGTCGGCTGTGACTTCAAAGAGCCTGCGAGCCTGCACCTTCGCAGCGGCAGCAGACCAAGCCAGGTTTGCAAGGTGACGAACAGACATGCTCTGGTCCCTTGCGTTCATGAGCAAAGCGGTCCGAAAAACTGCATGCAAGAAATGGCTCCTCCCACCCGGATCTTTCTTTAACTTCGAGATGGCGACGGCAACAACTGCCAGCTCCCTATATCCGAGGTCTTGGAGGTGCGAGTCAGTCATGCCAAGGAGCAATGCCCAGCCTTCGCGGCTGGGCTTTCCTCGCATCTCGAGGAGGCTCAAGCGCTGAATTGCAGCTGCCCACAATACACCGTCCATCATCTGCTTTTCGATTGCTGTATTTACGAGGTCGATGACATCGGATGCGTTGTGACAACGACGCAAAGTTGCAGTGAGTTGACCGGCCGAGGATTGCAGTTGTCTTCTGCAAATCAGCATGCAGTAACCTTCTCGGCGCATGAATAATGATCGCAAGACAACGGCAATGCGCAGCATGTCAAGGAGTGAAACGAAGCCACATGAAGCTAAGGTCAGATCAGCATCCAAAGATCCAACAGTAGGATCTGCTGAAGTGCCCTGCTGATGCTTTGAGACACCATGACGGCGGAGCTCCCACCAAGCCAAGTGCTCTGAAAAGACTTACCTGCTTCCCCTTGCTCCAGCCTCTAGGTGCCTTGTCCTCGGAGGTTCGAGGTTCGAATCAGCAGTCGAGACTGAAGTCAACACTGGCCACAATCAGGTAGAAAAAGTGAGACTCGCAAATTTCAGTTCTCAAGGTTGTGCGTCTAGAATTACTACTCGGCTTTACTGGGCAGCTGTTCAGTCGATTCTGTCGCTGGGATTTGTGGCAACAGATGGGGGCAATTTAAAGGAAAGTCAAGAGTGGCTTCTAACTCCGCTTGATGTCAGAACGCAATTTTCACGAGGCCAAAACGACTGCTTTCGGAAAGATGCTCAGACAAGTCTAAATCAAACGGACTTCGAGAACCGGATTTTCCTCTCCAGGCAAACCAATAACTTTGCATGCTTCGTCGTTCCTGACCCGTGGGTGTAAGCGTCGGCCGGTACTCCAGGTCCAGGCTGTGTGGTGGATGCTTGTCTCTGGATGGACGGACGAAAGACGCGTGACGAAGGCTATCAAGTCCCGGGCAGTCGAAGCAGTCTCAGGGAATAATGCGAGACACTCTAGCAGCAATCTTGGTCTTCTCGAGGCTGCCATTGTTCCACATGTTGTTGGTCTCTGCTTCTGAAGCTTCAACAACGCTCACCAGAAGCTGCACAATGACGGACGACGATGCAGGTGCCGCTGGGGAAGTCTTGGCCATGCCGCATGTTTGTCCAGACGGAAGACGGAATGGAAAACACTGCTGCGCACTGGTGTTATCGAGCAGTAGTGTTGATGCAATCACCGTCATCACTCACCGTGGGCAGCGACACGGTCAACTCGCGGGCATCACTGCTTCCTGCAAACGAGGCGACAGCACAACCCTATCGCGATGCATCTGTCCGTCTCTGTCCTGAATGCAAAGCTCGGACTCGGAACAAGTAGGCTGCCAGGATCAAGAAAGTCGTGGCAAGCAGCCGAATCCACGCCTGCCAGTGGCCTGAGCCCGAGCATCGCTTCTCAGATTCCAAATGCACCTTCGAGGATGTCCTAACCGAGGCCACTGCACTGGGACAGCATGTAACCGTTGATCGTCAGTCCAAGTAGAGGCACCCAAGGGCAGCCGGGGCAAGCAAATGTTTCTGGTCTGGAATAGCTTTGCCGGAAAAACGGAATCCAACACAAAGCGACCTCAGTTTGCGAAATGCGAGGAGGCTCTGGGAGATAGGCACTCTTCCGAAGTGAAGGCTGGTTGCTGCGACTGCGAAGACGGCGGTGCTGATGAGAGCCCACCAACTCTGCGAACTGTCATGAGCATCGCCGGCAGAGCTGTGACACTGTGACATCAAGACACCAAAATACATCAAACCAAGCAAGACGTAAGCGAGCTCCAAAGGACATAAAAGTGGAGCTCGCAGATGCGACAATAGCAGCGCAGGTCCTGGGCTTTCGTATGCTGCATGCAAGGTCCTGGTTCGCTGGACTGGTTCTGTTAGTGCCACACGAGGTTGACATTATGGTTTTTGCCACACTACCAGCCCTGCGGAGAAAAACCTGCCTGGGAAGAAAGTCTCGCTGGAGAAGGCTGAAACAGAAACAGCTCACGAAATTTAGGACTGGGCAAGCGTCATCATAGCGGCCCACTGGGCTGTTTTTTCTGGAGCGTCCGCGCGAAGCACGAGAACTCCAGCACAAACCTCATCGACAAACACACGCCTTGGGCCGACTGTTTTCCTCGAACCTCTTTGGCATTCCTGAATAAACGTCTGGAACTCCAAGCAGCGATGGTGTAGGAGAACAACACGCCGATGTTTAGGAAGAGGACCAGGCGTTGCACCTCGTGAGCCAGGACTGCCAAGAGGTTCGATGTCCCGTCGTGTCGGTCAAAATCTTGTACTCAGTGGAACCAAAGTTGAAAGCGAATCAGACGAGGCTCGGGGAGGAACGCTGCCAGCAGTGCTGCTATGACCCCACATAGGACTTGAGAATTGATAGGAGTCCCAAAGTTCGACACTCGACCTCAGACTTTGAATCTCATTTTCACAAACCTTGACTGAAACTTCTGGTTTCTGTCAGAGGTGTGGACATCTCTAGAATCCTTTGCAGTCGAGCTGCCGAAAGGCGAGAAGAAAAGACCCTGCTTGCAATCTACGATGGAATGCGGCAGGAACGGAGGCATTCTGTTTAGCCAGGGCGCATCTCGTGCCATAGCAAGATACATGCGAGCCTTCACTGGCACAACATCGGTATCTTGTTCAGACTTGCTCACCATGCACTGTATTCGCTTTTTCAACTGACATTACAAAGGCTGGAAAGACAAGTCTATAGCAGGATGTCACTTCGACTCTTCCGTGTGGTTTCCGAGTCCCCCGAGTCCCACCAGTGTGGTGGGCTTTGGCTGTTTAGTAGTGCTTGTGTCTAAATCCCTGCCAGTGCCACACAATGCGGCTTCTAGGTCTCTAGGTCTCTTTCTACTATGGAGTGTTGGAGTGTTGGAGTCTTGGGATGGTGGAGGATCATGGATCTATGCTGCCATAATGTGGACTCTGCACAGGCCTGCGAATACATTCCTGTCACCAGTGTTGTGAACAAGCCGATGACTGCGCCCCAGTTGACAAGCATGGACACCTCAGAAATAGCAAAAGGAGGCAACTAAGGCTTGTTCAGAGGTGAGGCTCCAACCCAGGGGATGTTGGCATACTGTGGGCTGAAGGCTGCTTCCACCGGCGCCGCCTAGTGGAGAAAGACATACACACCCAACACGAGTCTTTGCCACCGGGTCGCAAACTACACGGACGCAGCATTTGCGGTAGGAAAACCCTTGCGCAGGCGCACCACCTGCCTCATCTATTTCTGTGTAAGGAATGATGCCCACCTCAGTAGCAGTTCCAGGCCCCTTAGCGTCCGTCCACGTGCACACCCGCACAACTCAAAATAAGGACAGCACCAGCACTAGCGAGAAGAAGATATACCTCACACAGCGTCCCTAACTGGTCACCAGCTGCCCTCGAAGGACTGGATGCTTCCGAGGATCAGGAGGGCGCCTGAGCTCACGGCAAACAGTACTTGGCATGCACTTCTGTCTTTTTGTACACAAATGCCTGCAAGGTGCAGATGAGAAGGGAAGCCGTTATGCCGATCGGAAGATCTCGCTGAGGATTTTGGCACTCTTCGGCAGCATTTGTTACAGTTCCAAATCCTGCCGACCCAAAACAAGAACGTAGCGCCAGGAAGCTCCCAGGTTTGACGCTGTGGGAGAACGACATTGAACGGCGGATCAATCGCGGCACAGTGAAGCGCCTGTCCTATGAAGGAGAATGAGCATGTCGCAGACCTGCTGGCATGCACAAACCATCAACGTAAGCTTGAAGTCGGACCGTCTTTTCTCAAACAGTCTCCTCGCAGATTCTTCTCTGCTTTGGCTCCGACTGAGGGCACGACATACTGGCAACTGGCCCAAACCCACACCTTGGTGCAAAGAAACGGAACAGTCGTAAATCCGAAACTGCCCTTCGTAAGCCATCTGCGGGAAGAACGGGCTCAGATTGTCTGCTTGAACCTGTGCAGACGCTGCAAAACGACCAAGACGCATGAAAGCAGCTCTTTCGACACCTTGGTCGAGCCAATGCCGATGATCAGCAACACAATGACCATCTTACCTGCTTCGCAGGGGCACTAGACAGCAGCCGCATAAGTTACCCAGCACCTGTCATGATGTCTCATGCTGGACGACAAACTGCAGTCAGGCTGGGCACTGCACACTACCATTAGACCACAATGGAGCTGCTATAGCTGCTATCGAGGCGCTGAAAACCAGCAAGCCATTCACTCGCTTCAACCCGCTTTCCACGCCAACTGATAAGATGCCTCAGTTCAGAAAGAATCCAGGCGTCAAAGCACTGCCCGATGCAGCAGAGCCACCTGTCAGGACTACCACCAGAACAAGTGAAAGCACCTGACAAAGCCCAAAGGTGGAAGAGCCGCAGGGCAGCTGAGCGAAACATGGACGTCATGTCGAGCCTGTGTGTCTGGCAGCCACATTGCCGGGAACATCAGCAGAAGCCTGTGTAAATACGACTTCTCACTCCGAAGACACTCATTGGTCTCTCGTTTTTGGCGTAAGAGCCCTTCGACGATACAAGCCGGCCAAAGAAATGAGGAATCCGTCGTTGTTCGCGGGTGTCGCATGAAGAGTACTGGGGATACTCAGCAAAGCCGCAGCAGCTTGAATGAGGAGTGTTGGTGGCAGCTGGAAGGGCGGATGCAACTCGTAATAGTTTTTATGACTCAACAGTCGTGTTGCGCAGCTCAACTTGTCAAGCGATGCACGCTGGGGACAGTAAACTGCGAGACGAGCCACGGGTGAGCGCATGCAACCTTGAAGACTCCAGCTCCATGCCAAGCACCATCCGCGAGCCAAGATCGGCAAAAACATTCGTAAAGCTTTGCTGGATCGCAAACTAGCAGCGTCTTGCGAAGGTAAGAAGAACAAGAAGACACGGCAATTGCCGCACCAACATGGTAATCGACCAGCACATTCCTGTGCACATGCAAAGAGAGAACAGAGCGATGAACTCTCCACGAAAGCAGTTGAAACCAAGTCGCAAGCCAAAGAGCACGGCCAAGAACTCACCAAACGCAACGTACGCATAGAGGTAGACGGAGCCCGACCTACGGCCACGGTGCTCAAAAGTCATTTCGCATTCTCTGGCTTCCCCATGCAGTGCTGCCAAGCAGCACAGGTATGCGTGCAGCCAGCTCTGCATAACACAACGCACTGAAGATGCCTCCATCTTGTGTGGTGATACGCTCCTGTGTGGTCTGAAATTTTTTACCAAGGAGCAACTGACTGCAGCGATGAGGAACGAAAAGCCTCAGGGAAGTCAATTTCGGCGAGCCAACTCTCGAGTCGCATGCTTTTCCGCAAGGACGACAGGTCTGGTGCAGCACAGCTGCACACGGCGGGCCCTGTGGGTTTTGCAGCAATGCCGGTAATCACGAAGATGCCTGGACCAAAGCAGCTTAATCCCGCTTCTAGAAAAGCGCAGGCTGCTCACAGGCTCTGCCTGAACCAATGCTGGAACCGATTCCTGAGAAGACACAGGAGAAAATGTTTACCTTTCAACCCTAAAAATGGCCACTGTGGCCTACAGGATGCAAAGGGAGCTCACTGCAGCTGGGGTGCCTATCATCGTCAGATCCACGCTAGTTAAGCGACGGCTGAGAGAGCCCGCATCAGACCTGGGTACTCGATGTTGCTTGTTTGATCACGTTCCAAGTGCCAGCGACAGATCCCGCCTCAACTGGCTTTCAACGGGCCGCTGACGAAAGGCAACCGCCCAGAAGCCTGGCAGCCGAACTCGCCAAACAAGGCCTGCCTGAGAAACCAAGCCCTGCCTGGCATGAGATCGCGGCAAGACATAGCTCAAGATGGACAGAATGAACGTAAACAGAGCCATGCATTCGGCGAACTTCGTGGCTTCATGCGTGTGCGCATGTGTGCACGTGTGAATTGCTGGTACACTTGCTGCAGCTGATTTCTGCTTCAGAAGCCTGCTGTGGATGCATTTACTTGACGGCGTCCATATACCTCTGTATGGCTGTTCCTGATGGAAAAGAACATGTCCATCCGATCTTCACGAGGTGGTCTCTGAAGTTGAACTCGGAAGACACAGGCCAAGGGAACTTCGTGTTTCCACGTAAGTCTAACCCGCAATACCTGACAGTGGGTATCGACCTGAGCCCGCTCCGATGCAGACTTTGAATTTGGCCAGTAGCTCCCAACCGCATCGATGTCGTGATGCTGAGTGCCACCAGTCCCTCAATGTCAACAGGTTCGTCTTCCTTGACCTGGCTTTGATTCATGTCGGACAATCTTGAAGGTCGAGCATCTTGCAAGGGAGGCTAGTGATGAGATCATGACGTGCACTGTCCAGATTTTTCGCCATATGCTCTTGCACTGTACGAAAGCTGCTGCCGGGGTCAAACCCGCAGCAAACGGGGTGAAATCGTGACATCTAGACCTAGAAACTATCTTACAGTGGACAGGCCGCAAGATCCGCCCACCAGACTCGGCATCACACCTGACTTGTGGAAGAGCTTTCCGAAGTTACACTCTGAATTTCTACTGCTACCTCATGCCTTGCAACTTCAACACCGATGACTCTGCTTGCCACCGCATAACATTCGGCATCAGATGGCCGAGCTCAGACCTTTGCATGCACGTTTAAGTTTTGACAGCAGCTGAGAAATCAAACACCATTGGCAGGCTGGGCTGCCAAGCCGGCAAGGCTTCAAGGCGAATGCTTGGAGAGTGAATCATGACTGGCCCTTCAAGAACTTGACGATCCTGCCAAAGTCTGAATACTGGTCGCGAACTTGCACAGGTCACAGGACCATCGAACCTAAGCACTCTCTCTCCCCAGTGAGAAAGAAGCCAACTCAGTCTGCGCCTTTTTTTCATCTCCTGATCTGGTTGACATTCCTCCAAACGCAAAGGCTTTTGCGTGATCGGACACACCTGGGCCGGCGGAGCTCAAGCGAAGGTGGCACACCTGTACAGCACCGTACAGTAGTACAGTAGAGCCTCATCTGAGCCCACTACAGATCCGCAGTTTCCAAACCACTTCTCCAGTGTCTTCCTCTCGAAATGATGTCCATAACGAGACAGCACCTGCCATGCTCCAAGAGTGCCGTACATGGCGCCAGAGATGAGGACAGGTCGGCGGACCGGATTGACCATGACCTTCCCGTCTATGGCACATCGCATGTCCTGGCGGACAGATGCTCAGTGATGTGGCGGGTGCGGGCTACAAGCAGCTGCTTCGCTTTGCACCTCTGGACAGTCAACAACAGATCTGGATTCTATCCGGATCTTGGCCTTGTCCTGCAACGAGTCGGAACGTGCAGAACGTGCAAAGCAGCTGCTTGTAGCATTCGATGGCCTTTCTTTTACTCTCCGTCATATCAGTCTTGGAGAGCGCAGGCAAGTCCTTGAAGGATCGGCTGGTGTCGGGTTAAACAGACAAGGTCCAAAGCAAAGACGTACAAGGCACACAAGGCACCCACAAGTCACATAAACTCAGACTCTAGCTCCCAGCAAGGAAGGTCCCGTCTCGACCTCACCAGATCTAGAGGCTCAGGGCTCAGGGCTCTGCTCCGCTGCAAAGAGCTGCCTGGGACCCTGGCAGGTTTTGTGGGAGGTGGTGCCGGCACATCGGGGTCAGGAGCGGCCCGGACCTTTCAAGACGAGAAGCACGGCCCAACACGCAAGGACGTGTGGCAAAGAACAAACAGTTCAAGATGCTCAGGGATGCCTCTGGCCCTGCTCCATCAATGGCTTCGGGAGCCACTTGGGTGACTGACAGCATCTGCAGCTGGTATCCCTGCCACAAGCTCGCACAGAGCTGGCAAAGAGCATATCAATCGGCTTGCTGCACTCCTGGATAAAGTTAGCTATATCTTCGCGATCCACCACCTCATCCATGGCCTTGGAAAGCAGAAGCTCGCAAGCTCCCAGCCAGGACGACACGGGGTCCGGACCAAAGGCGCTCCGGTGAGAGGATTCGAGCCATGCTGGCTCGTCCAGTCCTCGAAACGACGAAGGAAATGCAAACCAACGCCGCTTTTGCATCCCAAGTCCTCCAAGGCAGCCCTCTCAAAGAGATATCCATCTGGAGTGCTAACGGGATCGTGCATCAAGGCACCTCACATCATAGAGAGAGGAAGCGGAACTTGCAGGACTGGGAAGCTTCAAACAGACCATGTAGTGCTGCTGACGAACGCAGACTGTAAGGGCCACATGGTCGCGCTACACTGGGAATGAGAAGGAGCGAAGAGAATCCAGGAGCCCTGCCACTTAGCTGGCAGACCGCTTTCTGCGGAACGCCGGCCTGAACCGTCAGCCGGTTGGCTGGGACAGGTTGGGACAGAGTCGGACACAGACTGTCGTGTGCTTTCTACAACTCGGGGACCTCGTCCGCTGTGCCAAGACTCGCTTCCCATCCATCGCCAGGAATCTGGCCGCACACACTATTCTGCAGCTGCGTCTCTTCCCAAGACGATGGAACTCAGTCAGCGACCAGCGGAGGCATGTCGTCTTCGGACTCCTTTGAGAATGCAGGAGGCTCACCAATTCCTGTTTCCGGCGAATCGCGGCTCCTCGCCCTGCTCGTCGTCGGCTTCGGGCTCTTCCCCATTCTTGCTCGATGCCTCCAGACTCCGGTGCCGGGAGATGAATGCAACGAATATGCCCGAGACGAGCAAGCGTTCGCTCGCTGCCGCACTGCCTGCATGGAGAAGAGCTTCTTCCTCCTTCTCGCCTTCCAGAGCCACCCCGACTGTAACGAGAACTCACACTTCAGCTGCACTCCTGGAAAAAGTTTCATCACTGCTGTCTACGTCTCCTTGTTCTTGGCATTCCGCCATTTGCGCTGCTTGGTGGAATGATTAGCAGCTGCCGCTTCTGGTGACGCCTGGCAAGGCGATTTTAACGCACGCATGTAGTAAGACACAAAGGCGGAAGGCCGTTGGCGTGGGGGGCCTCTGGGGCACCAAAAGCAAACGAGAGCAGCTCGACAGCCTGCCGGAGAGCTTGTGGCACAGTGCGGCGAAAGCATGATTGGCTCAGTTCCCCCGCCTTGACAGACGATCTCGAGAAGGGCAAGCGCATGCTCTGCTCGCAAGTCATCCGTCTTTGCAGTCGAGCCTGCGGCTTGCCCCGCATGCTGCTCCCCGATGCACACAAAGTAAGCCAAAACATTGCGTGGAATGCACACGCCGTCGTGCCTGACTCTCTGCCGGTAATTGATCGAAGGCTGCCTGCACGCATCTGGTACTCGCGCGAATTTCATGCATTGACATGCAGGAGAGATTCCGCCCGCATGGCTCGCACCTGGAAAGTCTCCGTGAGCTTGTCGCAAAACCTTATCCAAGGCTGATTCCTATGCCTAACAGCCAGACCAGTGTGGCAAAGACTTGCAGCTGGGGGCAAGACGGTCCCTTTGGATAGTCCACGTTGATCGCCGTTTTTACCTCACAAGCCCAGAGATGCTCTATGCTTCAACATGGCGGAAGGCAGAGAAGGCAGAGACCAGAAGCTCCAGCATGGAGATATGAGTCAGGATGCGAGGCACCTTCGCAAGCAGGATGCACTGCGGATGCAGGCCGCCATGCAGCACTGCAAGACGGCCTCGCAGATCTTTGGGATCATGTCCGAGTCCCGCAGGTGGGGTCGAAAGACCTGCATCAAGAGACAGCGCAGCCACGTTCTAGAGGCTACTCTCAGCAGAATCGCCGCTGTGGGTCGAACATTGATGTTGAAGGTGACGACAACAAACGTCTGCAGCGTTGCCTGCAGCCCACCCCGGAATGCGGAGGCTTCACACGGAGGCCGAAGCTCCTAGTACTAAGAAGCATTTCCCAGCGCCTTCAGGTTCTGCCACTCGATGAGCGCAGGGCCACACTGACAGGCAAAGCCATCTGCAAGAACAACGATGCCGACTATTGACAGTTCCTGCAGTACATCTGAGCGCAGGACTGCAGGATTGTCAAACAGCGCCGGCAGAATGTTGTATACATAGGGGATCATAATATCCTTGTTTCTTCGGCTCTCTATCAGCACAGCACGCCCGCACCAATCCGCCTGAACGATGGTGCTCTGCGTCGCAAGGTGCTGCCTTGCAGTTTCAGAGGCTCTGGGGTATCCGCGGGATCCGCCGAAACAAGTTGCAAGATCCCAACCTGAGCTTCTTCTGGTTGGCAGAGCAGTAGAGGAGGCAGTTGTGGATCTCGGTGCAACGATCCGAGCCGCTCAGCCGGCACTTCGTCCAGACAGCAGTCGAGCTGGAGCAGGCAGTCCGCGGCACCGGCCCGCCCAAGATTTTCAACTCTTGCGCTTAAAATGCTGGGTCGATGTCGCAAGCCGCGACGCGGCTGCGCCCGAAAAGCCTGTGTACACGACCAGAGCCAGAAGACTCCGGCAAGATGGACCTGTCCTTTAAGTTCCTCCCTACAAAGAGACTGGTCCTCTCCTCTCACATAAACAAGCCTTTCCAGTGCTCCAGACCGTCGTGGAACAGCGATGCTCACCAAACTGTGGCGGAGAAACCGCCGCAGCTTGTTCTTAGACTACAAGTACGGCACAGGGACAGCCACGGCCACGGGAAGGGCAACGACTCAGTGGCCCACGAGCTTGTCACACTGTTGGCCAAGCTCGACTGGCACCTCTTCCTTTCTCGGACTCGATAGCCAGGGCCTGCTATATACAGGCTTCTGAGGGTAAGAAGCTCCCAACAGAAGCGAACCAGTGAGACTTCATCAACGTAACTTCACTTTGGCGCATGCTTATGGAACGTGCACCGCTCTGTTGCGGTGCACTGTGCAGTTGGCCAGTGATCTAGCCACAACTCATGCCTTCGACTGCATAGCTTCTGGCAGTCAATCAGGCGGAGATAACAATGCAACGACTCTGTAGGATTTTGTATACGATGGACATGAGTAGCAGATCCTGAACTTAGCGCATGTGATGCAATGCTTTCAAGAAGCAACGGAGCTGTAAACTTCATTCTTCTTGGCTTCTAAACGAAGCGAAAGAACTTGCAGCAAGCTGAAACAACTGCCGATATCCAGTCTATTGGCGCAACTTGCTTGCTTGAAGGTCGTCTTCGCCGTGTGCGAAGTTGCAAGAGTCGCCAAACCTCAGCAGCTGTCTGCGCCGTCTACGCATGCCAAACGCTACAAACACAATGGCTGAAGGTGGTCTGATAGCTATTATATACCTACAGTAGTCTTTTTTCCTCTCTTGCCAAGCTCATGGCCACTTGCAGAATCTTGCAGAAGAGCAGCCAGCAAACCCCTGTCCCCATGAAGTGTCGGCAAAGCTGCGACTTGCGCAGGAGGACCTGTGACAGGGGTGCGTGAAGCCGGTGATGCCCGCAATTTCTCTGATGCCTCCGGAGGCAGATAGAGCTTCTTGTCCCTCAGCTCGCCCTCCCCGTGCGCGAACATGCAGCTGTCACCACGCCAACCTTGCGCGTTTGCACCAAGGCTCGCACATTCCTAAGCCCTTTTGCTTCTCCTTCCGGGCCAAACTCCGGCAGATTTGAGCTCCAGGCAGTGGCCCTGCTCGAAATGCCGGCACAGCATGGTCTTGCGCAGTCCCTTGCAATTCGGTTGGGTCTGCAACTCCTCCTTGCCATGAGCAAAGGTACACCTGAGCAGCGAGAAGTGCCAAGAAAAAGCACAATTTGGCTGTTGAGTCTACAAAACCCGTTTGAGTTGCACAATCACAAACTCGAAACAACTCTCGGTTTCGCTCTCTGCTTGTGTAGTGCCCCGGCACTTGGCACCCAGTCTGCAGGTGCCAAGCCTCTCGAAGTGTCGGCAGAGGACGACTTTTGTGATCGCTTGTGGCGCTAGCTTTGCAGCATCAGTCTGTGCATCTTGTTGCCACTTCTGCGCATCCTTCACATGCTTAGGAGCTTTGCCGCCTGTTTCTCTGCCAGAGCAGGCTTGCTTCGCAGGTACTGGCTGGAGATCGGCCTGCGGATTCGGGGGATTCGACTTGGAACAAGACTTGGATATGTCCTTCGATGGCTCTGGCGCGATGGAGGAGCAAAATAGCGTCACTGGCATCGGCTCTAGGCGAGCCTTGATAAAGGCAGCTGCTCCATCCACGCACTTATGCATGTGCTCCTTGTATTCCAGGAGAGGACCGACCCACACGCACGCTCCACCATGCTCCTCAGTATTCTTAGAGCAGGCAATTACACAACAGAGGTCCAGCTACTGCTAGTAACATGGGCAGTCTTGGACTAGAGTTTTCGGGGTGTTGTCAAGCTCCGTGCAGTCCAGGCTCCAGGTGGTTGGCACATCGCACTTTCTGGGTACTGTAGAGGCGCCAAAGGATGCTTCCGGAGCCTTCGGGCTCCAAGGCCTTCACGTCCTCACGCTTCAAAGGCCTCATGCAAGCTGGGCATGGCACCTCGGAAGACTTCGCTCCACTCAGGTATCGAATGCATCTTGCCAGGTCATAAGCCCAAGGTGCTGAGGGCAAGGGCTTCTCTGCGCCGTCTCGCTGGTATTCTACCCATTGGGAAAAACATGGCCCGCAAAACAAGTGCGAGCAACAGGTCACGACCTTAGCCGATCAGCAAGTCCGCAGTCTGCGGTACATCACCGGCAGTCATGTCAGAAGCACAGACAGCTGAGCTGAGAGCTGGCTGGTGCATAACTTCTGTACCTAAACGCAAACAAAACACCCATGCAAAATGTCATGCGACGCATTGCAGCAGGTATCTGCATCCAAGTCGCAAATCTTACCTCGATGTCAGGCAAAAAGCTAGCAGCTAGCGGATATTGCAAAGCAGGCCCAAACGCACCAGTGAGTTAAAACTGCTGCGGGAACTGGTTTCTGCCACTGCCCCCTGCCCCCGACCCCTCTGGACACCAAACTGGTGTCTGCCATCTGCACCTCTCCAACAACTGCAGCAAGTTCGTGCCAGCAGTTTCGGCGAAAAGACCCCACACACACACACACACAGCACCCATCTAAGTCGGTGTTCGGCTCGTGCCAAAGCCATCGCCGTGCGCATCCCCATGCACATGCCCATGACCATCACCATAATCATCCATGATCTATTCGTCGTCACCACCATCCACATAATGTGTGGTCATTGCTGAGACTGTGAGACTCATAAGCTGCCCCGTGTCGGACACCAAGTTCAAGTGGTGTAGGACCAATCAGTTACATCAATTCTTCAAGAACGACACGGAGGGCAAACTATTAAGCCGCACAAATCTCCTTTCAGGTCTGATGACAGTGCTGCACAACAAACGGTCTGAATTGACAGCCCAGGCACAAACGAAATCATCTCCTTCACTTACCAGCTGCTCTGCTGAAATCTGGAATCGAAGCTGCTGCAGCTGCATGGACACCCGCCGGCCGTCAGCCATCGAAATCAGCAGCTGCTCTATTTCGTTGGCCTACTGGCTTTGCCTCATACCCTGCACAGTCATCACCTTCAGTCTGCATTATCATTGTCAATTTCCTGCTTGAGCCAGCAAGGCAAACCGAAGTAGCAGCTTGGAGCAATCGCACGTACGTGCAAGACTTCCTGGACATCCTCGGGCTGCCACCGTTGTGAGGAAGTATTTGACTATGATGTCCGTCCGCGCATGACCTTGGGGTACGTGGAACCGAATCGAATGCACACACTTACGGTACTTACATTGTTTTAAAATCTTGGTTCCAAGCTCATCTGGTGCTGGCAAATACATCGGCCGAAAGCTTCTACGATGTCGAACTGGATGATGCCCTTCGGGTGTGCTGCTTTCTGCAGACAGCAACCTTGTGTATCTTGACCAGTAGATGCTATATGTACATTGACATGCCCGCTTCTTGGTGTTTGCTTAACCCCCATACTCTAAGATCAGCTTAGCAAAGGCTTGGATCATAACGGCTTACGAAAACGTCGGCAGGGATGAAAAGTCCCCCAAACTCTTGAAGCTTGAATGTCGAAACCTCGGCAGGGATCAAGATATCCGAAATACCCAAACTCTGAATCATTGTTGCCCTGCACACCGCATGGCTGCCAGGATACTTGCATGAGTTTCTTGATAAATGTATGTTCCGTCCTTCAACCGCTGTTTCTTTTCTTTCTGCCCTCGATTCTGTGTTTCCGTCTCTCCTTTCTGCCTTCCTTCCTTCGCTCTTTCCCTTGGCTTTCCTGACCTACAACTTCGGTTTTTGTTGGCCCACATTCTGCTGTATTGGTCCCGATTTGCTCGCTGGATACTTCCAGAGTAGGGAGCTGCACCAAACGTCTTGTACCGACATGCTATTCGTGCCTGAATCAGACCATTGACATGACCTGAGCGAGCAAGTCATGCATGGCATAGCGGCAGTAGCTTCAGTTTGCTTGAGGCTGATGAGGCAGGCGCGATTAAGCATGTTGGTGAGCTTGGTAATTTGCTCGTTCTGCCAGTCCTCACCGCCTGCCGTCTGAGGGGTCTTACAGTTACACATCTCTGCTTCTGTGACACAGCCTGCATCGGTCTTCGACAGGAACACGGAGTCTGCCGTCGTCAGCTGAACCAGACATTGCCCTGCTGCCGACTGCATCTCGAAGGGCGCCTCACAACGGGACGCAAAGACATCTGCAGGAGCACCGAACCGCAACCGCAAGGGGCTTCCAAGCCTGGTCACAGCGGACGATGAAGGAGATGAGGCTCACGGCACCTGGCCGGTCTCGCGGCAGAGCCCTCTGCAACAGAGCACGGATCCCAAAAAACAGAGCGGAAGTTGCCAGCGACATCATTGTCCGTCAGCTCCATGAGCATGAGTCCTTCATGCAAAGCTCGCTTCGACCGTCGGACGACCAGAACTGCATTTCGTTTAACTGCACCGACTCTTATTACCTGCCCACCCCCTGCACCCAGGCCTGTCAAACTGTCGCCGAAGATGGCGAAAAGCACCTGCTATTGGTCGATGACAGCTGCACATGCTGTCGAAGCAGCGAGCATGCCCACCCATCAAAACACGCTTTTTATTTCTCATGTCGGAACGGGTGAAGCAAAATCAGTTCGTTAACGGTAATGGGCCTGCCCTCGCAGGTCCTCGGATGCTGGGCCCTAGCGGCCCGGCTCTTTGCACTAACACAGGCAGACTATGTCTAAGCCCGGTAAACGGGCGCGGGATTCCTTGCAGAGCTGTGTCTTATGACGTCTTCGCCCGCTTCTCAGGAGGCGAAGAGCTCTTCAAGGCCCAGTCCTTAGCTGAGCCACCGGCATGCACCGGCCAGGGCACTGGAGCACTGCCGGGGCCCGGACGTAGTAGCGGCGGAAGGTTGACCCTAGGAAGTCACCGAAGTTTTGTCCCGGCCTGAGACGATGCTCGCTTGCGATAGGGGGCTATCTGAAGCGCTCCAAGCTTGTGCCGAGCTACTCCCACCGTTCTCCCAGAGGAGGTACTTTGGAGGAGAGGCCTTTCCAGCACCGACGTATTGAAAGCAAGATCCTGCAAGAAACTCCGACATGGTGCGCAGTGCGCTGCGGCCTCTCGCAAGGACCTCCTCGCGAGACACACCCTCCGGTATCCTGAGGCGGAGGAGCTTGCGGGACGTACGGAAAAGCTGCCGAAAATGCTCGTGTGCCATGCCTCAGCTCGAAAGATGGATGCGTGTCCACGAAGCACGGACAGCTGATTCTTGCAACCTTCGGCAGGCTCACAACAGGGAACCCGGTGGGGTCTCCACAGCCAGCCTTGCGGCCATTCGCATACTCTGGACGACAACCTCGTACACAGTGCGGAGTCGCCACAAATTCTCCGGCAGTGACGACCTCAAAGGTCTCTGGAGAGATGCAGCCCCGAGGTAACACGAGGCTGTAAAGATGCAACATTCTCTTGAGCTGTGGCCCGGGGTCCAGACCTGTGTACACTCCCCCACTTGGATTGCCATGCAGTCCCGGGGAATGTGCACACGTATTGCCTGCGACACTGTTTTTTGCACGAATTGAGTGTCTGTAGTCTGCGACAAGACCAAGGTCTCAGGCGAGCACGCTGCCGTCGCGATCGACAACCCACAATCCAGCTCCTTCTGGATCAGGGTTCGGAATGATCTCTCCCTCGGACAGCAAGGCGTGCGCTTCCGATGGATGCAGTGTAGCTGAGTGCCACACATCTTTGTCATCTACCTCAGACTTGCTGATGCTGCTGCTGCTATGCCATGGAGACACCACAATCGTCAAACTCCGGGGACCTCTCTGCAAGTACCACTCTCAGACTATCTGTGTATCGGCTTCAATCAAGGTGTCTTGCCCGTGTGGCCAGAGTTTGGCCAGGTCGCGAATATGTCAGGGGTCAGGCCCGTCATGAAGCCTGAGTCATTGTGCCTTAGCTCGAGATCAGAGCCAGGCCACGGCGTCTATTCGGGCGCAGCTGAGAAGATGACCAGCCAATCCATCCATCCTCCAAGACCAAGGGCTCAACCCGAGATTCCAGGAGTACACCTAGCCGCAGCCAGTCCTCTGGCACGGCTTCCTGAGCTGCGCCAGTTTCCTGGAACGCGGCTTGCAAGACTGCACTCAGGTCTCCAACCCTTAATCCTGGACCTGGCCTGGCCTTGGGGGGAAAGTAGTAGAGCAGCCGGCCTTTGCATTTCTGCGTCTCACCTGCGCGCGCAGAAAACTCTCCCGGTGCCCTGGGACGGACCAGGCTCCCGGCTCAGAGTCTTTCCAAGGTTGGCGGTGTAGCTTTGCACCTCAAACCAACAAATGTTGCGGCGTAACTGACTCAATTGACTGCGACTCGCACCAATAGTAGTAGGTCTGGCCAGTATTTTGGGCTTTTCAGCATGCTCAACCCAGTGTAATCTGCAGTCAGTTTGGTTGGTTGCCAGAAGGGCTGAATGCAGCAGTCAAACCTCTGTGACGCCCGAAACTGGCGCATGGCATTAGGTCTCGACTCATGCCAAATCCCCTGTGCTCCTGTGCTTCTGCTTATCCTCGGGGGACATTCTGAATTTCGATTTCTGAACTTCCAAAGTATTGCGAGCTGGCAAACTCTGGCATCGTAACAGCTGCAGCTGGAGAATACACTCTTTAGTCGCGTCGTAAAGTGCAAAACACACGGAACCTTGCCGGCCATGACCCGATCGACTTGCTTTCCAAGCTGGCCGATCACCTGATGACGTGATGGGCCGCACACCAGTTGCGACGGCGCTCGCCGGCACCTCCTGCATGACGCGGCCCAAGGCTTTGCAGTGCGTCTCCAGCTCGGGAATCTCCTGCAATCTGCTCAACTGCCGGCGTCGCAGGCTGCCGTGTCGTAAATCCGTGTCCTTTGGCCAAAGATTCTTCGGCAATGCCCACGGGAACTTTGCGCGATCCTCCTGGAGGGTGATGGGAGCATGCAGACATGATGCAGGGCAAGTGGCCGGAGCCTCTGTGCCAGGAGCGTCGGCCAAGGGATTGAAATAGAACCTCGAGAGTGTGCTCGACGCCGACTGCACTACTGACAAGCTGGATGCAGCTGCGTTCTGGATACAAAGCCTCTTGGGTTGCTAAGGTTCGTGCGACCCTTTCGCCAGGTCCGGTTTGTCCCCCAGCTTCTCCTTCCCGTGCGACCTGAGGGCACATGATGCAATGAGCCATTGCACATGTTCTGCTTATGCACGTGGCCAGCCAGCATTGTACATAGAGGCCTCGCAGAGGGCAGGCAGCAACAGCACACACCAGTACGTTTGAAAACATTTGAGCCCTACCTCGTCCTCGATTGCTCGCAAACTCTCGGGCGACAAGTGTGCGAGCTTGTGCGATAGCCTAGGGCACATCACACGCGCGTCGGGCTGCAGGTTCGGATCCTACACCCCATCATGCCAGGTCCTGGATGCTAGTAAACCTGGGTGGCCCGCTTCAGCACCGACATGTACAGCTCCTCTCGTTCCACTCGTGAACTTCAGGAAACTCCCTTCCCTTCGGCTTCTCTCTCCTCCCAGCGCGGGACTCCTCGCACCGCCACGACGCCGAGGCTGCCCGGCCCCCAGGCCTGGCAGTGGAGCAGTGGAGCTCCGCGGGGTTCCGCGAGGTTCCGCCCGAGTGTTCTACGGAGCTTCTGCGGGCCTCGAGGAGTTGAGACCCGAGGTCCGCACCTGCCACAAGGTCGTCATACCTCGCGAGAGCGAGCTTCACACTTCTCACAACGTCAGCTCTGAGACGAAGCGTAATGCGTGAAAATTGGGGCACTCGACGACAACCACCTCTCGAGGCATGGAGAGGAGTCGACCGGTCCTTCAGGCGTGAGAGGAGCAACCCGGCGATGCCCTGCTGAGCCCTGCTCTTCTCGGGCCCGGGCGAGTCGAAAGAGTTCACAAAACAGCTCCAGACATCCCACTGCCCACTGCTAAAGCTGAGCCAAACGGCGAGAACCCGATTGCGTCGGCGTCAAAGAGCGTTTGCCGAAACGCGAGGCACCTGAAGCATCCAGAGCCTCAAGAGGCCCGTGGCGCCAGGCTGGACCTTCGATGTGCCATCCTCCAAAAGGCTTTGCCCGGGCCCATGGGGGCCCGGCCCACTCGTAGGTCTCTACGCACGACAAGAGGACGTCGTAGACCTGCAGCTGAAACAGTAAACTCCTTCCCACCACGTCAGATGGGGATCTTCTGCTTGGATTATCGCCCTGCTTCCCACGGAGCAGAGCTATCGTCGCCGCTCACATCTCATGCTCCGGTGTAGTAGACCGCTGCACCTCGTGCACGTCTTCAAGAAGTTTCAACAGAAGCTCCTGCCAGAAATGCTGCACAAGAGATGCTGCATGAAAGGGCGAGATGCTGGTCTCCTTGTTTGCAATGCCTGGCATGGCGAACCCCAGCTTCGTGAGGGTCTCAAAGCATGCCTCCAAAGAAGCAAGACACTTCGGTTCCTCCGTTCTGTAGGTGGAACTAAACACTGTCTTCTGGCACCTCGTAGACATCGAACGAGTCGGGTGCACCACACGAAATGATGACCGCCTCTGCGCTTTCCAGCATCACAACACACTGCTACTTGTAGTATTCGGTGACAATATCCAACATGGTCTCGTATGCGCAGGCACTTGCTCGCCAGAACTTTTACTCGCGTCGTCAAAGCACCGTCGCTGATCCCACATGACAATCAACTTGATCTTAGAGACTGCGCCACGCTGTGCTGGGGTATGGCAAGGATCAAAAAGCTCAACTACATTATCGATGCATCCATCTTGAAAAGCGGCGCAGGTGAGAGGACAGGCCTTCTCAAATCATCAGCCGGTAGGATCGCAGAACCCAACAGCTAAAAGCAACATCACAATCAATGATGGGCTAGAAGCCCAATCTCCATCAGAAGAAACCAGAAGGCCTGGAAAATGTCTCTGTACCTGATTCCATCAGGTCTACAGGAGAATTCGAGACGTTTCTGTTTGCTGTGATGAATAGGGGGGAGAGTCATCTTGACACGAGACCCCCCGGCAGAACTGCCAGTGCGACAAATGCGAAACCCGGCGAGGTTCTCAGTTGAAAATACGGGGTCGGGAGTGTCATGGTCCTGCAGGCACAAGTCTGATTGCCCGCTGAAGCGAAGCTGCATTGCCATCTTGAAGCGGGTCCTCTGTGAGGTTATGTTTGCACCTTCGGTGATGGCGAGTCGGATGGCTCGCCTTTTTCGCCTTCCGCATCGCCGCCTTGAGGTGGTGCTGGCGCCGGGCCGGCAGGCGGCGCAGGCAGCGACTTGGCCTGGGCTTCCTTCTCTTCCTTTTTGGGTGCCGGGGGCGCCTGCACCTTCGGGGGTGGTGGCAGAGGCCTGGAGGAGGGAGAGCTCGGGGGCGGAGCCGAAGGAGGGCCGGAGTCAGATGCCCCAGCCTTGACGTTTGGTGCCTTCTGGGCTGTTAGAACGGGAGCAGCTGGCGCTTCCGGCCCCTCCTGAGCGGCGTTGGCTTCAGCTTCCGTCTCGGATGCTGGAGCTGCGGCTGCGTCCTCCTTTTCCTTCTCAGATCCTTTCGGTTCTGCTTTGGCGTCGTCTTTGTCCTCCTCGACCTTTTCGGGCGCCCCTGCCTTCTCCTCCTCCTCCCTGACCTCTGCAGAAGGGCCCTGGTCGGAGACCTCGCCATCTGCAAGGGCGGTGGCAGACAATGCACCTGAACAAACCAGACAGTTGCGACCACAAGCCTTCTGAGACAGCCCAAAACCCTGGGCCTTGGGGTGGTTCCAGATCCACATCCACGCTGTCGCTCTCCTCAGACTTTTGGCCTGGCAGATGCGAAAAGCAGTCTTCGACGTCGCGCGACCTGCAGCCATCTAGCGAAAACACAACTTCGCGAATGCCTGGCAGGGCTGGCGAAGACTTCGGCTGCCACCTAAGCAGCACTCTTGGATCTGTGTCTGTTCGGTCGCACATCGTCTCTCACATCATCTCACATCTCTGCGCCAGACTTCGGTGCGACTGCAGGTGGGGTCGGCGTTGGCTGCCCCGGCTTCGGGGGTGCTTGAAGCTGTGCCGGAGCCTGGGCTTTTGCCGGTGGCTTTGAAGCCGGGGGCCTCAGCGGCACGAATCAAGAAAAGCTACTGCAGCATGTACCAGATTTACCCAGATCTGGCCGTGCCCAAACGAACCCGGTGTTTGTTTTTGCAAACAAGTGACTGCGCGCCGCCCTTTGCAATCGCACCTGTCAGAAACATCCACATAATACTAGCAAAAAAAACATTATAGCACAATGAGCTGACAAGACGGCCATCAAAAGTGTCTTCTTGCCGTGCCTTGGGGCACGTCGGCTTCCTGCGCAGCAAGTTGGCGGTGCAGCAGTTGTACGATTCGACTTGATTCGACCCAACATGGAATTGGATTCGACATCATCGCCCCACTTTCGCATGCGTTTGGAGTCAGCTACCATGGAGAGCGCAGGCAGCCGACGGCACCGACCTAGAGTGGGTCCGAGGAAGGAGCACCTTGCTTTGCTGGGCTCAGCAGGAAGCCACACCGTGAATACATCCCTCAGGTCCCTTGAAACACACTGTAGCATTTGCTACTGCCAAACAGCCACAAATGCAGAGACGGTCCTGACCACCTTCTGGGGTCTGTTGGGGGCCTCGACAGCCCGCTTGCCACTGCTTGTCGATGCACACATGTCTACCGTGGACTGAGCACACAACCTACCTGCCGAGGCATCATCTGCCTGACGAGCAGAATCAGCATCACTCTGCCAGAACTCGCTAGAGGCTTTTAAGCTCACGGCCCCTCCAGGCGGCGACGAGCTTCGCCTAAGGATGCAACGCGGCAATGCCCGAACCCGAACCGGCTACCGGCTCTAGCCACGGAGCAGAGTCTCGCGCCTTCAGACAGACCGACCTGGATGGCACTCTCATCCTGCCCATGCCACATGCGAAGCCCAGAAAGTATGATCCTGTGATGCTTCACTCGGACCTCTTGAGAGAGTTCAGACACGGAGGGTACTCTTTCGACCTGAACATTGCTCAGGGTGACTTTTGCATCAACAATAGAAGAAGGCCGCGGGCCGTAAAGTGCACGTTTTTCCTGTCCTTGGACAACTCTTGGACCATCCTGAGAAACACACTTAAGTTTCAATCTCGAAGAAACCAGAGCAGCAGCACCTGACGGCAAACTTGTCATTCTGCGGGTTGTTGTCCCCACCTGGCTTTCAGCTGCAGCGAACTTTCCCAAAGGGACGGGCTGGGATCGAGTCGTGCAAAAGAAGACTCCGGGGTTCGCGCTGATGCTCACATCGTTCACCTCGAGGATGTGATCACCTGCGACGAGCAGAGAGAAGGTGCCGACTTGCGGTGTCGGTCACGCCCTGGGCTTGTCACAAGAACACCTCTTGATGGAGCTTCATAAAAACGGGCCCTAGGTCAGGGAAAGGTGGGCATGGGTGGGTTCCCAAAGGAACGACATGGCGCAGAAAGCCAGGAGCTCTTCCTGAAAATACAAGAAAGCACAAAACCTTACAACAAAAGTTCCCAACACCACCCCCACTCTTCGTATCTTTACCTTGGAGGCTCTGCCTGGCAAGACCCGGTAGGGCATCTGGCTCTGCTTGTTCCACGCGTCCACCTCGTGTCAATCGCTTTGGTGCTCGTGCTTTTGAAACAACACCAACATCCTGGGTGTAAAACTCTGCCGCCCTCACTGACTTTGTAGACCAACAAGCCGCCTTGAGTCGAGGATGTCGTCAGTTCTGCAAGCCCACTTGGCTTGTAGCGACCGGTCTCGGGACACGGCAGAAGTTTGCCTCTCGCTTGAGGACGACCTTGCAGGTGTCAGGGCTCAAAGTCTCGAACGAAATCTCCCTTTCCTCGGGGTCCCCTGGGGACACAGCATCTATACCAAGACGCCCGGGCCCTTTGCGCGCTAGGACCACCTTCGGTGCAGTATCAGGGCACTTCAAACCTGAATGAGTGTAATGTTTGGTGCTGCCGGTGACAGACAAACACATGCAGTCTGCCCAGGTACGCACACAAACAGCCGTGCAATGTAGTCCGGATGCCTGAAAACGAAGCGGCCCATTCCTGAGTATTGCAGAGCATTGATGAATGAAGACTGCGCTGACGTGACAAGAAGGATGAGAAACGGAAACCTCTCGCCTTTCCTAAGTTCCAGACGTGCCATTTTCTTGGACGTCAATGCTCCCTATCAAATCACCTTTAGCAGGCAAAACTCATTCAATTGACAACCACCCTTGACGGTGTTCTCTCTCGACATCGCTCCAGTAGCCCTTTACCTGGATCGTCCGCAGCTGTTCCGAGAGGTCGAGATTCGATAGGCACCCTCAGCTGCTTGCTCTTTCAAGCTGCTGGACTGCTGCCTACAAGATACACAGCGACGACCTGGGCCAGCGGCAATGGTTTTGCTAAACCGGGGGGAGGTGCGGATGTTTTCCTAAGCTGTCCCAGGACAATTGTGGCACAATACATACCCGTGTCATTGTAAATCACTAAGCGCTCATATCTATTTGGCGCTTGTTCACTGTAAACACAACTATTGCACCAGTGGGGGAAGGTTGAGGACCGCGCTCCAACGCATCCTCCGCGGCCTGCTCAGTCTACCACAGTGCCACACCACCACAAAAAGAGTCTTCGGCGACGCACCGGCCGCCGGCCTCGTTAGGCAAGGCCTGGTTGATGGGAGGTCTGGGCATCCTCAGGTGAGCCGCTGCGAACGCAGCACAGAATCCGGCAACCTCGCTATCCAGCCTGCTTGCGGCGCTTTCAGCGCCATGGCCCGCTAGCATATTCTGCAACTCATCAGCTGCACCAACACCCGCCTGCAAGCAACGTCGCACAGGCAGAGCATGGATGAGGTGCTGGTTGCTCGGGCAGCTGCCAGCTGACCACGTGGACCCAGGTCGTCCTGCTTGTCACTCCATGCACAGATTTGCCACAACATAGACAGCGTGCCTGAACTCGAGGCGCACCGGACTTGGGAACTTGCCTGAGATCCAGTAAGCAGCAAGCGCCACACTCGAGCGACAGTCTGCCGGGAGTGGGTGCAACGATCTTAGGAGTCCACTGTGGAAGTTGTGGTGGAGCTTTTGCAGGCGCCTTTGCACCGGCCGGCCTTGCAAAACACTACCAGTCACTACCAGGCAGAAGTCAGGACTTGACACAGTGCCATCAGTTTAGCTGCCCACACTGCCGGGTTGTTGCCCCCTTGCCGCACGACTGCCAGGCGAATGTTGCGGTGGCTTTGCAACTCCTGATCAGGAATTCGAACACTATGAAGGTCGCGCATCACACGCAGCAGTTGCAGCGCATAAGAAACTGTAATTACGTCCAATTGTCGCTTGTTGGTACCGTGCCTCCATCATCTTGGCATGGTCTCCAACTGCATTGAAGACGCGGGTGATTGCCTGACCGCGTAAATCCGTAGCAGTTGGCTCGCTTCTTCCGTTCTCCAGGAGCCGGACGTCTCCACTTCGAACTTGGAAGGCGGAGCAGACGGACCTTCGGCGGCTCCACTCCCGGAGGCACACGGCTCCACGGCTCTCTTGCTCTGAGTCTGCTACTTGTTCCAGGCGTCCACAGCGCCCCCCTCAGACACTTCGTTCACCTGCGAAGACATGGCAAATCAGCGGAAGTCATGGCAGCCTGCTTATCCATGTCATGCCCAAAGTCAGGAGCACACCCACAGCACTGCGACGTCGTGCATGGTGACCGGAAGGACGCTGAGGCCAAGCCTGATGAGACAGCAACGGCGAAAATCTGCAGCCGCGGGCTGCAAGTACACTTTCGCCGGGTCGCCTCATGCCTTCATGCCGCTGTAGATAAACCTGCAGACGCAGGATACTTAACAAGTGCTCCGCCCTGCCCCAAAGCTCGGTGTCGCCTCGAAGGTAAAGTGGCTGTTTGGATCTTGGCTCTGCGCAGCGGGCGCTGTCTGAGCCGCTGCGGCTGCTGCGGCCGCAGCTGCGGCCGCAGCTGCAGCCGCTGGAGGCTGAGCCTCCAAATCTCAGAATTTGCTTTGGGGCCATTTGGGGTCTGATTCGTCGATGCGAAGGTCACGGCAAGAAGGGCCTCTTCCTTGTTCTGCAGCTTGGTGGGCGCCGGATGCTGCGGAGGCTGTGACTGAGGAGAGATCATTGAGCGCATAATCGACTGCTGTGCCTGCAGCTTCAGAGGATCAGCTTTGTTCACAAGGTTTTTGGACCATCTGAGCCCCATGCCATGTTAGGGATATCAGGCCTGGGTGTTCTGTGCCATGCCCGCCGCAAGACATCTCATGACTACATGTTGCAGGATCCTCCTCACAGCATCGTCTCTGACTTCGCCGCATGATCAGAAAACTCAAAAGCTCGCTCGGACTTAGGAATCTAGATTTGCCCTACTTTGCTGGGAAACAAGAAAGACACCGCGCGCTCGGCCAGTCCATCAAAACGAGGCTGCTGCGGAGTCGCTGGCTGCTGATAGCCTCGACCTGCCGGGTTCCGGATCTAGAAGCCTCGAAGCTTAGACTTTAGACTTGAGATGTGGTTAAAGTTAAAACTCTAGTTCGCCCCTTCACCCTCCCCCTTTTGCCTTGGTCGAAGGCTCCAGCTCCTGTGCCCGGGCAGAGAAGCGAGCCACAAGGCGCTGAAAACCACGTTCTCAAACCCAAGCCCCTCCTTCGGGGAGGCTGCCCAGGTTGGGGTCTTCCTCAAAGCAAGGCTGCACGGCTGCACACAGCACTTTCGAGTCTGTACTGCTACGAGCGCAAAAACTGAGAGCAAAACCTCTCCAGGTAGCGCAGCTGCCTGAGCCAAGTACGGCTTTGGGTTGACCACGCAGCGATGGTGACTGAGCAACTGGCTTGCGGTCCTTCGCCCATGAGACCTGTAGCTGTGTAGGTGGGGCGGTCTGCTGGGATTGATGATGGAACTCCTGGTTCACACAGCCGAGGCATTTGCCAAGTTGTTGCTGCAGCTGTGCAATTTTCTGCTGCAGCTGCAACGCTTGCTTGCCTTGCGCAACAGATTTCGTCCAGCTTTCTTCTGATCGGAGATGCCGGCTCGAGCGCATCATGCCAAGGCGCTCAAAGCGTTGATGTTCATAGGCATCTGCGTTGGGCTCCTCGTAGCCACAGCTTCCATTCTATGAATTCTATGTTCTGATCATTGACGACAAGACCTTGAACTCTCTTGGTTGTTCACACCCTTGCTACAAGGATGAAGCCAAGCACTGGATAGACATCCACGCCATAACAAGAACAACAAACCAGCAGGGCGAAAAAACACTGGACGGAAATCATCCTGCATGAAGCGGTCTAACCTAGAGAGGCTCCTCTGTGCCTGCGACGCTGCAGCTGATGGTGGAAGGGGGGGCGGAGGTGGAGGTGACATCATAGCCTTCGCCTGAAAGAACATCTTGCAGCACTGAAGTTTAGTTTAGTCTCCACAAACCGTTCAAGCTTCATCTCGGAAGTGCCTGGGATTGTTGCATCGCCTGCTGCTGTTGCAGCTGCTGCTGCTGAAGCTGAAGCTGCTGCTGCAGCTGCGCCAAGCCAGACCTGTTTTGCAAGGCCAAGAGACGTCTGGCATCCCAGACGAAAGATGCTGAGCCCGGAGCTGAATTCCACCAATGCTGTCCCCCATCCCGCAACCACCGCATCCTGGAAACTGCCCGCAGCATCCGCCACAGTTGCCGCAACCACCACATCCGCAACCACCACCACCACAGCCTGGCAATCTGTAAGAACACTGGCTGCAAGTCAAAACAAAGCATCAGCCTTTGCCTGAAATGAGGTGCAAAACATTTTGTCTCGCTGGTTCTGCCCTGTCTGTGCAACCTGTTGGCCGGAGAGCTCTAGACTTTACAAGCCGAAGCGAGTGTGGCCCAGAGTCCTTTTAAGGTCTGTCCATGGCCGACCGGAATGTCCAGCAGGAGTGGACTGTTGAAACGTGCCGTTCAAGGTGCGTCGCTTCTGCTCGATCTGTCACGACATGGCTAGAAGCACGCCTGGGCCTTGTGCTTCCAAAAGTTGCATGGCACTGTGCTCGCGTCCCCTTCGACGCTGAAGTCTGTATCCAAAGTTAGCCGTCCGAAGTCGTTCACGGACTGCCTGGCTGCCTGTTCAAACCCATCGACGACGGGTAGCATTGACGGCCCGCCGGTGGCGACATGTTTGTTTATTTAGATACTGTAAGCCACAAGCTGTCATACCTCAATGTCGTCTCATGCTCACGCCCGTCGACCCATGCATTCCAAAGCCATGGGGATTCGAGCCGCGCGAAGTTCCGAAGGGTTCTACACGGCCCCAAAGTTTTGGTCAGCCCGTGACCTATGGTGCATGTTCAAAACACCTGTCCAAAGACAGCCATATGGCGGGTAGGTTCACTTCTCTGGCTAGGATCTCTTGTAAAGGACCTTCTGTAGAACAACCCCCGTGACACGGCTCCACAGGCAGACCTCCGCAACCGCAGCCACCGCAGCCGCTGGACCTGGCAGCAATGCTTTGAGTTGGACTTGTGTAGTCCTGGGTCATGGAGGCTGCAGGCTCCGCTGATCTTTCAGAACCCAAATCAATATAGTGAACCAATCGGCCTGTGGGCGACACAAACTCTGAGGCCGGAGCCCCCCACAGCCCCCACAGCCACAGCCACCGCAACCACCTAGGCTCGGGTTTGAAGCCAGAGCTTATGTGTCGAAAGCAGCGCGATATTGTCGAAAGCTCCTGAGGACGCAGCCGCCGCAATTCCTTGGCATAACATGGGTACATGTGATAGATGAGAAAACCGGAATGCAAAACTAGCTACAAGCACCAAGCAAACAAACCCATTGACCGAACACGCGACGAGGAAAGCCAGACAAGTTAGCCGTCCCTGCATATTGACAAACTACAATGACACTCCACGTCATTGACTGGGACCCCGGCCCCCCACAGCCTACACCACAACCGCAGCCCCCGCAGCCCCCGCACCCACAGCAACCGCCGCAGCCACACCCGCCGCAGCCACCGAATCCAGAATTCCCGCTTCGGCCGCAACCGCCGCAAGGCCCACCGCAGCAGCCACCGCCGCAGCCACCACATCCGGCTCCACATCCAGCTCCGCAGCCAGTCCCGGGCCTTAGGCAGAACACACCCAGAAAGTCGCCCAATGGCCCATGGATCATGGATGCCGATACTGTAGCCCGGTCTATGGGACAACAAGTCCGTGGCAGGCCCATGGACTGCCTGGCCAGGGCCTGGCCCTGCTGCATCAGCCTCACAGAAGCTTCTGACGACACGATCAAAGATCACTCGCTGGCTCCACAAGGCTCCGACAACGAGTCCACGTCCGCTTGGCTCTGCGCCTCAGAAGGGATCACATTCGATGCCGGAGGGCGAGGACAGCCGCTGCAATTGATGGCCTGTGCACCACAAGCACCCTCGCCACCTGGCCTCATCGAAAAAACGACATGCTCTGCACACTCTCGCACTCTGGCTGTGCTCAGCTGCTCCCAGTCGACAAGCTCCAAGGCAGCTGCGTGTCGGAGAAGAACGGTGCTGTCGGCGCCGTCTGGCTCTGAACCTGGCCAGTCTGCGGCTTCGTGTGTCGGCCTCGCAAAGTTCTGGGCGCCAGTGCGAGGCCTTCCAGCCATGCCGGCCCAAGGCACCGGCCTTGAAACACAGGCAGTCAAGCGAGGCACGACGCTTGTATGTGGGGGTCCCGCGTCTGCATCTGCAGGCTGCTGCGAGGAGCCCGTCCTGTCAACTGGCGGCTGCAAATTTGCGCCGACTCGGTCAGCTCTGGCAGTCTCTAGATTTCTGAGGCCGCAGCCCTGTCCAGTTGCCGGATACTTCCTGCAAGCCATAGGCCACAGGTCAGTTCAGCCGTGTTGCAAAGCCTGTTTCTCCGTCCTGAAAGTTGGGCGGAGGAAGCAGGTTCGGCGACTTGGACACTGCTGCACTGCCTGCGCACACGACTCCGCACCACGGCAGGGCAAAGCTCGACATGCCCTCTCAGGCCTGAAGTCGCCAAGTTGGGTCCTCGCAACTCGCAATCGTGGCATCTAAGAATCTAAGACAAAAGTTTCTCTTGCACCGTTACTGTTGCAGTGCTGGCCTGCACAGTATCTTCTCACTTCCAGTCGGATGGTAGAAGCCTTTACACTGCGGCCACCAAAGCAGTACATAAACGCACGCACAAAGGATCAACGAACCGTGCTGAAACTAGTGCCTCCATGACTTTACCAGCTATCGCTGGCATATGATGTGCTAGTGGGCCATCAGCCTTGGCATCAAAAAATTGCTTCACCGTTCAGGCCTGGAGCTGGACAGTCTGGGCTGGGAACGTTAACACCATTGACTTTGACCACCAAGTCTCCCTCCTGTATTCTGTAGCCTTCTGGGCTTTTCCTCGGAACAAAAGACCATGCTGTTAGACTTCCGGCCAAACCTGTTGCGTTATGGTAAGAGCACCGCTTGTTGTACGCATCCACCGCCCCTCCGTCGGCTACCTCAGCGCAGCGGCACTCAGTGCATTCGAGCCACAACCCCCGAGACAAAGCGCCTTCTCGACGACTAAGCCTTCCCGGTCGGGTGTGTTGACCTGAGGCAAAGACAACACGTGCAGAGCCAGGTATGTCAGTACACAGAGCAGCTACAGTCTTTACCCGCAACAAAAAACACAACGAATACCCAAAGCTGCCTACTTTCAGGCGGAAAGTATATCGGCATCGGCACAGAGCAGGCACCCATGGTGAATTGTACTCGACGTCGCTTGTCAAGCATCTGGGCCTATCTGGGCCTGTCTTGTGCAAAATCGCCTTGCCTGCTCATGTCTTGTGAGTTATGATCTTATGTCCTCAGTTTGAAGTCCGTTTCCTGACGCACCTCAAAATTCCTTTCCTCACCGGATCAGCCGGCTTGGCACTGGCAAGTGCACTTAGGGCGACACTAACGACAGCTGGATACCAAGCCGAGATCCGGCTGGCTTCGGAAACTCTGCCTGTCGGCAGAGCACGCGACAGGAGCCAAAGCAAGGGGGATGGTCGACCCTTCTGCCTCGAAGGTGTGGATCATGGGCCCTTGCATCGCTTGGCCAGCAAGGGGCTCGGCAACAAATACAATCGTCTATCCCTAAGTCCTAAGTTCCCTGAGATAACCCTAAGCATGTGGCGCCCAAACACGGCGCACGGTGCTTAGCAACGACAGTACAACATGAGTTGCCTACTTGCGTACCTGTTGAAGGGTACACTGTTGAAGGGTACAGCCTCCATCCTCGAGAGATATTGGCAAGAGTAATCTCTTGTCAGGTGCTGAATTGAGCCACTGTGCAGGGCATGCTCTTCAAGACGGCTCAACCCAACGCTGAGCTGAGCCAAAATTCAAAGGCGAAAAGCTTAAAGCCCCAGATCGAACAAGCCATCGCAGCGAAGTGTCCGGGCAGTACCCGCTACCCGCACACTCTGCACTCGCATCCACTCGCCGTCGCTGACTTCCAGCGGCCAATGAGCACCCGCCGCCCTCCGACCGTCTTGGCCCGGAGGACGTTTCGACAGGGACTCCGTGCTTTCTCTTCTGCAACAGCTGAAGAAGCTTTCAATTCCAACTGGAAAGCCTGGCAAAGCAAGCTCTATGCCTCTATGTACATAGCACTGAAATTCGGCCGTTCCTTTCGAAAATTGGCTAAAGTCTCCACCGTGCAAGAGCTTCCTGGTGCCAAAGCGAAACTCGGACGAGCATTCAATCTCCTCGCTCCGTCTTATGCGACACGACAAGCATAGACAGAGGTGGCAAGACTTCAGAGACTTCAGGACTGCAATGCATGGTCTGGAGCATCAGGGATCCTGCCTGGCTCCTCCACCTTGTCCTCGAGATGCGGCCTGAGGAAGCTTCTCAAGGCCGCTGGATTTCCCATAACGAACAACCCGCAGGAGTTGTCAAACACTTGCAATGAAAGTAACTCGTGCTGCAAGATTGACGGAGTTGCCTTGCACCATGCTAGCTTAGTACAGAAATCTTCGTTATTCCCAAACAAGCCCGAAGGTGCAGCGAAGACCAACATCACGTATCGCATGTTCCGCAGCCTCGATGGCTGGCGACCTGGCCGCGCCCACCGCGCCTTGCCTAGGAGTCTGTGAAGCCGTTTCCGTCGGCTGCAGGGAAGTCTAGAGTATCACACCGGTTCCCATGCTTCCGTCTACAGGAGGTGCGCAAAACCTTTTCCAAGAGCATGCTGATAGTCTGCATATGGCATATCATGAGTTGCAGCACCCAGCTCGGCTGATGCCTTTTGAACCTTGAGCTCATGCACCGTCCTGCAATCACTCACGTCATGGACTTGCCCTTGGTTTCAGGCCTTGGCTGCCAGCTTCTCTTGGACGGCCACACTCGATTGTCTAATGCTTGAGGAGTGGACACAAGGCTGACACCGAAGACTGTTGCGACAACTAGCACGAATGCCTAGGTTGACACCGCAACTGCATCAACACAAGCAGCCATGATGTGGTATGCACGCCGGGCATTGAACCAGCAAAGACAAGAACACGCGAAACTCGTCTGGACTTCCCGGGTCACCGCGTGTCTCCTCACAGGCTCAAAAATGCGTAGACTGCAGGAAACCTTTCATGCCCGCCTCACCTACGAGAGCGACTATTCGCAGCTCCACAAGAACCTTGGGCCCTGGGTTGAACAAGTAAACTAAGTACCAACATCGCACAGGACAGGGAGCCGAAACCGGTCTTTACAGACTGGAGCTGGAGCCAAGCATATCACTACGGGAGGTCTGACTAGAATATACTAGAATGACTTGAAGCAAATAAATCAACAGAGGCTCTCTCAATCCCAATGCCACCTCTTTCCCCATGTGAATGAAGATGGCTGCATGAAATCTGTGAACGCATGCATCATTTTGTGCAAGATGATGCACGCAGACTCGCATGCAATGGGCTTGCGACGGCACAGCTCGCAGTGACACACGAGGTACTGCTAGCGGTAGCTTACGAAACTAGCAGTCTCCTCGATCAGCGCAGGAGCAATCAGAGCCCCCAGGCGGCCACAGGTGCCGGAGATCGACAGTGCCGAGACGCGGATCAACGATGGGAAGAGTTCAGCCTCAAGGAAAAGGCAAATGGAGAGCGCATCCTCATCCCTGGCCCCGGGCCTTCACGGTACTGACGGTCTGTGAATATGTCCTCAGAGCAGCATCGTTTTGGGGGGCAGCTCTATGCAAAGCTCACTCACGTCCGAGCATTCACCGTGAGTAGAAAGAAAAGGCGCAGGACTTAAGGAACTTCTTTGGCAGCCCCACTGGTTTCTTCCAGACTGGACGGTTTAGTGCCAGCCTGTGAAGTTGCAAGAGGGCGTAGGAAAAAACACTGGATGGAGTAGGTCGGGCCTGTGGGGTATGGCTTTATCAGTGCCAAGCCAGTTCGGTGCCTGTTCAGCCCAGTGAAGTCTACGGCGGTCCGGCCTAATGCCAGACTTTACAGTACCACCCCTGTAGACGAAAGCCTTAGTAAAAAAACAATTCCGTTCCAGGTTGCTCGGAGTTGCTCTCAAAACGTGACCAAACAACTTAAGATGTGCCCGGTGGATGTGGAGAGCATCATCGTTGTCAGGTCAAACGATGTCCGCAGTTGCACCTGTGTCAGTTGTGTGTGCACTGCCCTCGTTATGGGCTATGGGTGCCACGCCCCTATACACGTCATTTTTCATCTCACAGGAAAACGGAGGAGTGCAGGGGAGAGCTCCGCCCAACGAAGCTCTCTCCTGCACACCCAGGAAAAGGAGCACCAACTTTGCTCGCTCAGGGATCTCCGCGGAGATAGCTTGGGGAGCATCGTATCATTTTATGTTCATCCTCGTCTCGCTTTTGTGCTACGTCATTCCTGTGTGTCTGGCGTAGCGAGGGGCCGAAACTATACAGCTTACGGATCATCTCATCTTGGTTGTGTTTTGTATGACATTCCTGCAATAATCATCATCAACATCATCCTTGTTTGTTGCCAACCATGAGTGCGATCATCTTTTGAGAAAGAACGTGTGAATGTGTCAGTTCCTTGCGCAACTGGGGGCCACACACCATCGTCAGCTTCAGGAGGAAGATCCCAAGCACAGGAAGAAGCGGCACCTTTGATTCAGCACAAAGCCCGCAACGAACTGCTGGACTCCAAGTTGCAGCCGAAATACCCCACTTACCAGGAGGCAAGCAACCGCCACAATCTCGAGAAGTCCACCGAATATCAGGATCTGTCCGCCAAGAGGCGAGCCAAGCTCCCTCCCAGAGACTTTCCAGTCCACAAGCCCAGCCTCTTTGTAGCCGTACCTGGACTGCAGCGCCTCGATGCAGCAAAAGCTTCGTGGAATGCTTTGCAGATCTCGACAGGGCCACATGGCCTGGTACGCCAGGTACAAAGCAGGGAAGGCCAGCAGATTTGCAAGAACAAGCTCACCGACCTGAGCATCTTGAAGGCTCAACCTGGACTGAAGCAATTCTCCCGACGAATCTCAGGCCGGAACGGGGGGCAGCGGTGCACCCTCAGGCAAGTCGAAGATGATGATGTCACATGGGCTCTATTTAGAATGGACACAATCGTGCCCGCCTCTGCCAATTCGGAGATGATCAAAGGAAAAAAGTAGCCTGCAAAAGCCATCAAAGTGCAGGATCCGGCTCTGACATGAGCCATTCCATTGTGCAGCTGAGAAGCCACAGCCAAAGCCTGTAAAGTTGTAGGTGAAATCCAACCTTGTTGCACAACACAGACGGCAGGATGTAGAACAAGCTTATCTTTCAAGCATCACGAGTGGCAGGCACTGCGCTTCCCAAAAGGGGAAGACGCGAAGCCTGGAAACTTTGCCAGACAACCTGAAGAAGGGAGAAGAACTCTCTTGCAATTTCTGGCATCGCCAGAAAAAATGGTTAGGACATGACTTCTGTGTTTCCACTCGGCGAAGCTGCCCCAGTCGAAGCGCTTCGCGGGGGCATTGGAGGTGGCCTCCAAGTGACCTCAGGCTTTCGACATACTCTCGATCCGAGCAGCGGCTGCACTTTGGCTCTGACTGAACGGCCATTGCGTTCTGCCATCTTGGCAAGGACCTCATCGTGCGGAAGGGACGTGGGTTTCCGAAACCTTCTCCCGGATTTCTTTCCGCTGGCCCACTCTGACTCTGAGCTGCCACACCCGTGAGACATTGGCCGTGTCTCCCTAGCGAGCCACGAGACAGGGCTCAAAGACTGCGGCACAGTGGGGCCCGGCTCCTTGAGCATGTGGAACACCGGCGTGTCCTGCATGCAAGACAGCCCCCAGAACGGGCTGAGGCAGCCGAAGCTGGCCTCCAGCTCCAGCAAGGCGATGGGGAGTGCCTTCCACATAAGAGTCAGCCCCCTACACCATCTCTTTGCTTGCCGAAGCTGAGGTAGCCACCAGTGCTGCTGGAATAGCTGACCAAGCACACAAGCCTCGCGGGTGCTGTGTTGCTGTCACACATTGAGCGTAATCCGGCCTGAGGTCAGCACTTCGCCAATCCCCGGATTTCAGATCCGGAAGATAAAGGTAGAGTCCAAGATCCTGAGCAGTTCAACTCCGTCCATCGAACAAAACCACAACAAGTTATCTCGGGTCTGCACCGCATAGAGGGCCCCGAACCTTGGTTATGAATTGGGAGTGGAGGGGGAGGGGAAGCCAACATTTCTCGGCACGACGGGTCCTTGGCCGGAATTCATGTCAATGTAGCGGCTAGAACTCTCACGAGATCTCACGAGCATGAACATGCGGGTGTAGGCCGACAGGTGAAGCCCAGGATCACAGTGGTCCGAGAGCATAAGACTCCGAAGACAACCCAAGACTTTGCCAGGGCCCTCCAAACAAAGGCGACGACTCAAAAACGTCAGCATCCGTGGAGAAAGCTGCGAGGTCCCACATTTCTTGCGCTGGCTTGAAGAGGCTCGTCTCCCGGGTCGGGTGAGCCCAAGACTGTGCGGGGCAAGAGGGAACCTCAACAGAGGAGCTTCGGTAAGGACCTGGAAAATGGCAGTGCGCAGTGCCACGGGCGTCAGACCATAGCAAGAAGCCGGCTATCAACCCACAAGGAACCTTTCATGCGAGTCAAAACGAATCCTGCGATGCTGAAAAGATTCCTACCACCACGACACGGATCCAGACTAAGGACTTGTAGAGCAGCACCACAGGCCATCCCCCGAAGCGAATTTCCAAGACTCATGTCAGTGCCCACGAAAACGGGCGGATAAACAGATGCGAAGGCCCCCTTATCCCTTCTGGGGAGAGACGAGGAGATGGAGGGTTAGGGTTGCCCAAGTAAGCCCAGAAATTCAATGTGCAGACTTGAGAGCCGAGAGCTAAGAGCTGAAAGCGCAACGAAGCTCCGGGTGTCTGTCATACAAGCAGCTTCTTCTAAGGCAAAATGGAAGCTATATTTCTTGTTTAGGAATCCTTTTGGTAATGTGCCTACTTTTTGGGTTCATCTTACAGACCCTTCCTTTCAACTCGCAGGTACTCCTGCAGGTAAAACTCGTTTCCGTTTTCAGGAAGTGAACCAACACTGAGATTTGCGCTGGGTGAGTGCATCAAAATGAAGCCACTTTCGCCACATCTTTCAGCCCGAAAGATCAGGCGAGAAGCCATGCTACCGCCGAAAGCCAAACCGGTACGACGGGAATGCACCTTTTTCCGAGGTGGTGTGAAGCGCATCGCGCCGGACCCGTCGCCAACGCTAAGCAGGGCTGGCCGGCGCCGGGGGACGCCTTTAGCTACCCGGCCCGCCGCCCGCCAGCGCGCGACGGTCCACAAAATCGAATAATCTTAAAAGGGTGGAGAGGGCGGGGCTTGAAGGCCGGGCGACGTCGATCCCACAAGGCAGCTGCCGGAGCGACGTTCGCCGGCTTGTCCTAGCACACACAAGTGTGTTACACGACAAGCCATGCTACCGCCGAAAGCCAAACCGGTACGACGGGAATGCACCTTTTTCCGAGGTGGTGTGAAGCGCATCGCGCCGGACCCGTCGCCAACGCTAAGCAGGGCTGGCCGGCGCCGGGGGACGCCTTTAGCTACCCGCCCGGCGCTCCCCTCCCCCACACTGCGCCGGCTCAGTCCCTTTAGCATGCCAGGTTCAGGAGGTCGTCCGCCGCCCCGTGGATGGCGTAGTCGATATCTCCCGCCGACTTCTGGAGGATCGCCAGGATGGGCGTCAATGGTGTCTCGACCCTGGTCCATCCCAGGCGCCGCGCGGTGTCGAGGTCGCCGCGGGAGACTGCGTCCATTTTCATTCAGACGCTTTAGTCGAGTCGACTATTCAGCGGGCGCTACGTACCCGTATCAGCAGGGTGATACAGGAACGGCCTGTTGAGGCACGCCGGACAACCTGCACAGCTGCTTGCCAGTCAAGCAGCGGCCGACTATTACGGCCACGAAAAGAAAGCTGTAATGCCACGTCCTACTATGCAAGTGGAAGTAGGATGTAAACTAAAGGAAAAGTTCCCCAGTGCCAGTTTACTCTGTCTACATGCACCTTGAGGCAGACTGTACAAAACACAAGGCGCAAAAAGTAGGGCCGTCCGACGGCACCCGAAGCGGAAGGGCCGACAGTCGGCACCCGAAGCACAGGGAAGAGCTCGTCCCTTCGACTACTCTGAAAAAGGGCTCCCACGCAAGCCCCGAAGGGCCAGACCGTCAAAGGCAACTGCAGCAAAGGCGTTCTCGCTCTTACTGACCTGAAGCTACAGCACATCTGCCCGTTCTCAGAGCAATCGAAAGGAGTGGCAAACCCATGTCTTCGAGGGCCAAAGGCTTCAAGCAAGAAGTAGCCGCGGCTGCGACTCCCCTGACACACACGCTTTGGGCGCGTTAACCACCACCAGCAGGCACATTGGCACATTGTCCTGCTGACACCATGCTGTACTGGGTGTTGGCCAAAATGATGGTCGCCAGTGAGACCAGACTCTTCGGCAGACTTGCAGTTGCCGGCAATTCCTGAAACACTGTTTGTCATCGAATGCAGTTGACGGGCCGGCAGTCGGCACCCAACAAGAAAAGGCCTGCAGTCAACAGGGGGGCCGCCCTGCAGTACCCGAAAACAAGGGGCCGATATACGGCTCTTGAGACACTGTGAGAAGTGTTGGACACCTCTCCAGGTATAGCTGGTTGGGTCGTACGCAGAGGCCAGTAGCAAACCTGACCGGTATGCAGCTCGCGGAACCAAAGGTGCAAGAGACGGCTTCTGTAGCACTGTGAGCAGAACCATTGCGTTGTCAAATCTGCTGCATGGGCCGGCAATGGCCGGCAGTCGGCACCCAACGCGTAAAGGCTTGCAATAAACTGGGCCGCCTTGCAGCTCCCGAAACAAAAGGGTCAAGAGACTCGGGGCCAAGTGGTGTAACACGGCCCTTAGGAAGCAGAACGGCATTTTGGAGGGAAATCCTCGGCATTAGCTGCCCAAAACAAGGAGCTTCTGCCAAGAAGGCCTCCAATCGACGGAGGAGCCTCTGACTGGGTTTAGGAGGGGACAAATGTTGATCAAGACCCTGTACGTCTCCAAGTGCAGCCGAGTGGGCCGAAAGACGGCTCTCCACACGGAAGGGCCTGTAGCTAACAGTACCGCAGCGAAGGCAAAGTGCTGCGCACTCCACAACGTCACCGGGGCCAACCAGAGGCACCCGCCATTGCAAGCACCAGGTGAAGGACCTCAAGAAACTACTCTGAAAAGGACCACCCGGAGGGTGGATACAACAACAGTGCACCGCGCAGGCACACGGAGCCATATCTCTTATGCTCTTTCGCAGAGAAATCGAAATCGGAACCAAAACCTCAGCTGAGGAATGTCGCACCATATGCAACCTGCAAGGCCGGGTAGCACCCTGTTTAGACCAATGAGCGTGGGCGAGGTCTAAGCGAAGCTGTATGGGCCGGTAAACGGCTTCCAACACTGCATCTCGACAAAGAAGTTCTTGCAAACCAAGGGGGCTACGACCCCTGCACTGAGTGCGACAAGCTGCTGCCTGGCGCCTGAACTGCAAACAGGGCCGACCTGCGGCTCCCGAACTCACGTGCCGAAACAACGACCTTTGTGGATGTTGCCAGTTGCTGCTCGGGCGAAGAAACCATAACAAGGACAACCATATGTGTAATGCATGTAGGCTTGAAATTGGATCGCAAATCACCAGTACAGAGGAAGGCCCTCGAAGTCCTTCATGTCTGGGAGGGCATGCCCATTTTCAAGTGTAGACTGTGAAAAAGCCCAAACAACTGACATCATCCCCATATAGAAGCTGTTGTACACCAGGGGGGCTATGACCCCTGCACTGAGCGTCACGAGCCACCATCTGGCACTGCACGCTGGTCCAAATGCTGGTCGCCAACGAGACCGGTTCGCGTAACTGCACTTGTAGCCGCAGGCAACCTTCTGTAAGTCACCTGTTGACAGAGAAGCACTGGTAAGGGACCGAAAGACGGCACACCTAGCAAAAGGCACGGTCACCGGACGTGGCATCCTGTTGCAATCCCGTGCAGTTGTCCGGTGTGTTGTCGCGCCACCCGCCATCTTCCCACCTCGGGAAGAACACGAGCTAGTATCGTGATGTGGTTTCCCCTCCGTGGGGGGCCCGGAGGGAACCCTCACGCCAGCCATCAAATTGCCTCGTAGCTGTGCTCTTGTAAAACTGATGGCTCCCGGACTTGGGACCGGGACGAGCTGAAACAGAAGCTGGGCAGCAGCCTCCTCGCCAAGCTCTTCCATGCTCTTCCGAAAACTGTTTGTCCACAAAGCTGCAATTCCCTCCAACAGGCTCCGAACGCAGAGCGGTGTAAACCAAATAAAAATCACTGACGCCGTTCCAAACATGTCTGTGTGACTGGAGCAAAAGCTCTCCACTGCTAAAGTGTACTGCATGGGCTTGTCGCATTGCACAACTCGCCTCTTTTTCCCCTAAAGCAGCAGGCCTGCAGGTCCATGACCAAGGTGGCTCGCATGGTTGCAGGAGCGAATAAGCAGTTGCATACGTCGCCACATACTCAAAGATCCATGCCATGCAGATAGGTTGGAAATGCTTCGAAAGACCAAGTAACAAAAACATTGCGTAGTGTAGTCCATGCTTTCGGGATCTCCAGGAGGGGGCCGGCGTTCGGCATCCACGCGAGAAAACTTGTTGCGTGAAGGAGTCGTCAAAAACCATGTACTTCGTGAGTGAAAAACCAAACATGCCGAAAATCACGGTTATGCAGCAACTTCCATGGCGAGGAAAACTACAACCCACCCCTAGGTTTGAGCCGCTCGTGGCGCTTGGAGACTGCGTCCGCAATGTTGGCCTTTGAAGGTACCCGCCGGAAGTCCGGGAGCCATTCGCACAGCGACGCCGTGGACCAGAAGGCTGCGATGACGCCGTTCACCGTCTCGTCCTTGCCGTAGCCCTTGGAGAGGGCGAACTGGCCGGCGACATTGTCGATGAACGCCATCCACCGCGCCGGGAGAGTTCTGGCCAGGGTCACCAGTGCCAGCACTTGCGCCAGGACCTCCAGGACGTAAATGAACGCCTTTCGGGCCTTGAACGTCTCCAGGAACTCCTCCGGGGCGTGGCCGGCGTCGTATAGAAGACGTGGTCCCCGATCCGGACGACGAAGCCCCAGCCGTTGTGGCC